TAAAAGCCAAACACTTCGTATATGGATCTTTCGAACACGTGACCAAATCAAAATCAAAATCAAAATTTTACCTTGACCATTGGATGGGATTTCATAGAAAATATCAAAGAAAACATATTCTCGTGATCCTTAAATCACTTAAATTCGATCATTTTATCTTCACCCCTTGATGGAATTTTATGAAAGAAGTTATGAAAACACATCATCATGTAAGGGTTTTCACCTAAATTAGCTCGTTTTATCTTGACCCTTCAATTGAATTTCATTGAAAAATGTTTCATGAAAAATATCATCATGTTATGATTTGTATTTAAATAAGACCGTTTCATTTAAATACTTGCTGGATAATATTTCATAAAAAATGCACTTTAAAAATATTTCAGGATTTGCCTTAATTTATCAATGTAATGTAAGTATTAGATTGACTCTCAAATAGGGTTCTATTTTAACTTTTTATTGAAATTAATACTAGGCAGGACTCACTCTCTAAATAGCTAATAAAAATTCAACCCTTGGATGTGATTTCGTTGAAAAAAATATATGACAAGTCCAGAATCAAATGATTTGTCCAGAACCTCTTAAGATCCTGTTTTATTGGTTTCATTACTTTCTCTAGAACCTTAAATTGACCTTGGGTTTATGAGAGTAGTAATTTGAAATGCAGTTATATGAAGTATTGAATTGGCCGGAATTGGACACACGTTGCCTAGCTATGTGTGAGTAAACTATGATCTTATATGGATACAAACAGTTCGTTTGACAATGATCATCTATCTTATCTGTAAAATCAGAACTTAAAAAGGGGTTTGAAATGGAGATCGATGAAACCATACCACAACTTGATAAAACTTTCGTGATCGATGCAATGGCTATGACAAAAGGAAAATGAAGATTAACTTTTATGTTGAAAGGACGATTCTCGGTTTGGAGAACAGCCTCCTGGGCTAAAAAATCTTTCATGAAAAATATAGAAATATTACCCAAATTAAACTATGAATATTCAAAAGAGGACAATTAAATCTACAAGATGTAAAAATAACAAATTGGTCTGAAGCAGGGATAATGCTCAAATAGACCGATTCAATAAAATACAAGTCTCGATTTGGGGAAAGAAGTTCATCAGTGTACTGCGCTAATATTTTTTTGCGAAAAATCTAGAAATATTACCCAAATTAAATTATGACTATTCAAAAGAAGACATTCAAATCTATATTATGTAAAAAAATCAAATTTGTCCGAAGCAGGGATAATGCTCATTTAGATTGATGAACTTCGTTCTCCAAACCGAGAATCGTCCTTTGGAGAGTTTTGGAAAGCTATATTTGACTACTCCATCAAATCTAGTAAAGGAGCCAAAAGAATAGATTTCATATTAGACTCCTAGTAGTCTCCATCAGTAAAGGATTCTGAAAGAATGCGGAGAATGGATGCTTCCCCTACTGAACTTTGATCCAAAGAAGATATTACACCATTACCTAAAAATATGAATACCTTTTGGCCAAGTCATATAATACAAATTTTCAAAGATTACAAAGAAATTTAATAAAGCAGCATTCTAAAAGTGTGCCAAATGTCAAGATTGTTTTAAGTGGAACTATTGGATAGAACTTAAATATCTGTGAAAATGATAACTGAAATCCCCTGTTAAATTCCACTCTTGAAGAGGCTGATTTTAAACTTATTCACTCTGTTTTACGTTCAGCAGGAGAACATGTGGGACTGCAGTAATTTGCATCAAATGACACTGATATTCTAATTTTATGACTATCATTTCAATAAATGTAAAAAATTCTTCAACTGCTAGAAAATGTCATCTGCAAAGTCAGTATGTAAACATTTTCTACAATGTCTGTTTGTTTGAAACATATTGATCATATATATCACCATATATACTTTTTTGATCTACATGAAGATTTTAGTGTGACAAGACCCTTTTACCCTGGAGTTCCTAATCTCATTGCACTAACGGGAGTTTCTAGGCCCAGCGGGGTATGATCCTTATAATCCTTATTTTCCCAAATAATTACTGTTGCCTGATGACAAGTTGTTTTATTGGGAGTGTAGTGATTATAATTTGATAATTTATAATAATATTTTGTATTAGGAGATGATCATTGCTTAATTACAGTATGGGCATAACAAAATATAGAGAAATCATGTTTCTTTTGATTAACCATGTCTGTATTATGTATTTTAACAATGTATAACATTACATGGAACATGTTGATGTGAAAAAGTAAAAATGCTATATCACATAATAAATATCATCAAATAATAATTATTAATTAGTTATAATCCATTTAATCAATCAATTACTACACTGTATACGATATCCCTAAGAGCAGTTACACTTTAGGCGGGGGGGGGGGGGATTTATTAACCTCTCACCCCCTTAGTAACTCTAGGGTAAGGTCCTCAACTCTAATGATTTTTCTTTTAACAATACTTGTAACATGGATCAAACCTGACCACAACATTTTCAACATCTAATTTCTAAGCTAAAAAGTCATACATTCAAAAAGAGAGACATCCAAGGCAATACCTGATATCGTAAAGGAGGACTGAAAGTATCGCAACAGATTTAGGACAGTCACGTGTTGGATTTTTTGCTATTTTCTGAGGATTTGAGGAGGTGCATATGTTAGGCCAATGCATTTCCTCCCGGAAAGCACTCATAGAGATGATAAAATAATTTCTATTTGAGACAAGGTACAAACAACCCACCCACATACATCAATATGTTGTGTTTTGACACACAGTTAACCCCTTTAAAGAAATAATGCATTCCATCAGGGGTTTAAAAGATATCAAATATGGGTAACCAAAATTAAGCTGAAAGTAATGGAGCACATGAGTTTTCTCTTTGGGAAAATAACAGGAAAATATTGTTTTCTGCTTTAATTTCTGGACATTTATTATTCCTTTTTATGGCTTTAAAGTATGTCTCAAAACGCAACATATTGATGCAACAAAAATTGAAAAAGCAGGGGTGAAAGGGCTTGAAAATCAGGACAACATATGAAAAAACATGTGGGTGGATTGTTTGCACCATCGCTGTCTCAAAGTCCAAACTATTTTATCATCTCTAAGAGTTCTTTTCCTGTAGGTAATGCAATGGCCTATCATATGCACCTGCTTAAATCCTCAGGAAACAGACAAAATCTAACATATGACTGTTTGAAATAATTTGCAATACTTTCCGTGCTCCTTTGAGACCTGATATTTCTCAATTTTTCAAACATTGCACTTGTTAAAATTCTTAAACTTCCTTAAAATTCATCTTCAGTATGTTTTACTTTTTAGTTTCACACTCTAAAAATATATGTTTCATCATAGAGGTATGGTTGAAAAAGCCATAAGGGTCATCCATGGCTATACCTAACATTCGTAAATTTGAAACCTTATATTTACATTTTTTTCAAATTTTGGACTTGTTTAAAATCTTTAACTTCCTTAAAACCCATCTAAATAATGTTCTACATCTTTAGTTCCATACTACAAAACCATAAATATCACCAAAGAGGGGTGGATTTAGAAACTATAGGGGTCGGCCATGGCTATACCTGGAATTCGTAAATTTGAAACCTTATATTTAAAAAATTTCATGGCTATACCTAACATTCGTAAATTTGAAACCTTATATTTACATTTTTTTTCAAATTTTGGACTTGTTTAAAATCTTTAACTTCCTTAAAACCCATCTAAATAATGTTCTACATCTTTAGTTCCATACTACAAAACCATAAATATCACCAAAGAGGGGTGGATTTAGAAACTATAGGGGTCGGCCATGGCTATACCTGGAATTCGTAAATTTGAAACCTTATATTTAAAAAAATTCAAATTTTGGACTTGTTTAAAACATTTAACTTCCTTAAAACCCATTTAAACTATGTTTTACATCTTAGTTCCACACTATAAAACCACAAATATCATCATAGAGGGATGGATCTAGAAATTATAAGGGTCAGCCATGGCTATACCTGGAATTCGTAAATTTGAAACCTTATATTTACAATTTTTCAAATTTTGGACTTGTTTAAAACCTTTAACTTCCTCAAACCTATCTAAATTACGTTTTACATCTTAGTTCCACACTATAAAACCATAAATATCATCAAAGAGGGATGGATCTAGAAACTATAGGGGTCAGCCATGGCTATACCTGGAATTCGTAAATTTGAAACCTTATATTTACAATTTTTCAAATTTTGGACTTGTTTAAAACCTTTAACTTCCTTGAAACCCTAGAAATCTAGAAATTATAAGGGTCAGCTATAGTCATACACAAAATCAAGCTGTCAAAAATGTCAAAATTTTCGAAAAATCAACATTGGGCTATTGGGCACCTCACATGAATTTTTCCAACCTCGTACAGTGTCTAATTGAAAAGTTAGGATCAAAATAGTAAGAAAATGAGTCACGAATTTGCCCCCTGGGGTACATACTTTGTACATATTTCCAATTTCTTTAGGAGTTATCAGCGTCAATTATACTCCAAGTGATTCATATATATAATATCTATGTATGTCACTTACAAACATCAAAATATCTAAGGTTATTTAGTGTGAACAATTTTTTCCCCAGGGTGTGGTGTTTTTTTGGGGGGTGGGGGGCTAACTCAAAAAAAGAACTTCCTACCACTCTGTGAAGCTATCACCTAGGTGGAAGTTTCATCCAAGACTCTCCCCTAACTGAAAATGCTGCCAAACCAACTATACACCATTTATTGAGAATTTTCCTCCTCGCCCCTTGAGTATCTGTAGTAAAGCCCTAGATTTGATGTTAAAAGAGATTGGAATGGAAAGATTGAAAAGGATGATTACCGTTACTGGAATAAGAGTTAAAAATATCCTTCTTATTATTTTGTAAATTATACGTTTTACAGGGATATAGATGCTAAAAATATCCTTCTTATTATTTTGTAAATTATACGTTTTACAGGGATATAGATGCTAAAAATATCCTTCTTATTATTTTGTAAATTATACGTTTTACAGGGAAATAGATGCTCTGGAAATACAACGTGTGATGTAATCAATGGTACAGCAGCATGCCGAAGTAAGTGGGAAGAGTAAATAATATAGCCAAAGAAAACTACTCACTAGGAAATAAATAAGTGGAATGTAAGATTAGTTAGTTTTTCGTGTAGTGTTAACACATGGTCGACGGTATAGGAAAAGATGACACGATCATAAATATTGATAATATCCTCGGGGGTTAGAGATCAATGAATAATCTTAGTATGTATTTGCTAGAAAAATATTGCAACTAGCGGTGAAGTAATATTATATAATTTTATGAAGTTTCTAGCGAACATGTTGTCATTTGGTGTTAGTTTGAGAGGTTATCATGCAATAAAGCTATTAAAGCAGCAGACTCCAGGATAGTCTATTGATATTATGAATGATTACCCTCATTTGAAAGATTTGGTAAACAGATAAGATCGATAGTTAAGTCAAAAGTCGACCCTCACTTGATAGTTGGTGGATAGCGGACTTCTCAGCAGTTGGCAATAAAATCTTTTCAAATGGTAATTGAGTTATCATTATTTCAGCTGACGGGTCCGATATTTGGTATATAATGAATGCACACTATGTTCAAATTTCAGAATGTAGTCGAAAAATGTGTGGAATGTACTGCCAGTTCGGTTTCCAGACGGATGGCAATGGTTGCGAGATTTGTAAATGTAAAACGAATCCTTGTCTGGTAAGTGTAGGAAACGTTGTGCTAAGGATTTCACATGCCACTTTGCATCTAAAAGACAACACGATTTCCATATTTGACTGCAGGAAGGAAACGTTGCTAGATAAACCAAGTTTAAAATGCCAAGTTGTATTTTTTAAACATTACTGCCTAACACATACAATCCAAAACAGCGTGGGTCTAATCAACATATCATACCGTTTCTTTAGTATCTACGTCTATTGGTGAGGTATACTGATTGGTATATTTTTGATACTGTAATGCGGAAACACTGAAATATGTTCGGATAATATACTTATTTTCAAAAAACTTGGATCAGAAACCCTGATTTATTCTTTTAATTTCTTTCTCATTCCATGATCATGTAACCTTTTGATAATGTTAGCATTATTCAATGAAAATTCTGGTCTTAACGCAATTTTAATTTGATTATTTTATAGGTTGATCCAAGGCCGTGCCAAAAGGGCAGTCTTAATCAAGTATGTGTTGTACGAAATAATAAGGCAGTCTGTGAGAGTAAGTTTTTCTTGGTTATGTATAAATACTAGGACAATATCCATCAACACATGTGTTATTTATTTGCAAATACTGTATTTTACAAATATCTTATTCTATTGAGGTTAATATCTTTTGTCACTTTCACAAGTGATGTTCAACGAAGTCCGAAGGGCTATATATACATGTAGTGTATTATTGAATAACTGTCATATTCCTCACTCTCTTATTGGTCCATGTCCTACACGTGACTAAAAAATAACTAGCGATATTCAACGGAAGTCACGTGACTTCCGGTGAATATCAAATGATATTCAACGGTCATGAATGGACATTTGAAAAACATTCCCAACCTTGTTTCCCACATGGCCAATACTATGAGTATGAACACAATGGTTCCATTTTCATTGACCCATTGCAATGTTACAATTAATTATAATGTTAAGATGAAACCTTAAATTAAAATACTACAATTTGGGAGTTGATATTTATTGACTATACAATTTGGTAGTTGATATTTGAGCCAGGTCACAGGAAAAGATTTTTTCAATATTCTGATATTTTGTTTATCTTAAAAAGCACAAAGAGACCTTTCAAATGAGCCATGGCTTATGTCTTAACAGATTTTCCTTGTATGTATAGACCAAAAAGTCGGATTTGAATTTAGCATATTTTCCTTTTAATCTTGGGCACATTTTTGGCTCTGTAGCACAATTCTAACTTTTGTGATAAGACCGGTTTTCCTATGGCCAGGCTCATTTATTGTATTTATTGTTATATTGTTACAAGAAATATAAATGTATTTCAATGTTAACATATGACTTACTTAATTATAGAAGATGTTATGACAGTGATATAATAAAACAAATATTAAATTCTATTTTCGGTGAATACCTGTGCCACTTTCACAAGATGATATTCCACTAGCCCTTCGGGCTTCGTGGAATATCACTTGTGAAAGATGCACAGGTATTCACCTCAATAGAATTAAATACTTGTATAATATCATCTTAATAATAAGATGATTATTTCGATGATAAACGGTGACAATAATGATGTGAAACCTTGATTTGGCCTTTAGAAGGCCATTTCATACGTGTGTTTGTTTCATACGTAGAATGACCTATATTTGGAAATATTAAAGGTCAGAATGAAATAATTCTGTTATTTGGTTCCCAACCCTTCTTTGATATCCTGTGTACAATTTATTCTCAATATCTTAGGAGCTAATATAGGGTCTTAAAAACACTCGTCCCTTCACTGTTATTAAAGACATTCATGGTCATATTTTCTACAAACGCAATCATATTGTGTTGACAGAATGTCCTGGGATCTGCATGATGTCTTGTGAATATGGATTTAAGACAGACAGTAACGATTGTCCAGTGTGTGAATGTAGAAGAAACCCATGTGCACAGGTGAAATGAACTTAACGAATACATGTGCAGTGTTTATGTGATCGTATTGCTATTTATACACATCAAAATAGATGTCACGAAGAGAACGGTTTGCACGAGCTGCCCAAAATCTGAAGAAATGCTACAAAAAACTGCACATAGTTTTGAATTTTCAGACCATTAGACAGCCTTAAGGCGATGGTGACTAATTTGATTTTCTGAAAAAATTGAGAATTCTTGAAATTTTCCTGAGAAGTCGTTTTTATTATTTCTCGGATGCTTGTACATTGTTATCATCACAAATACACTAAAGAACAACAAAAAGATTAGTTTGAGAAAAAAGTGCCATATGAATTAAAAAATTTGAGAAGAGTTTTTCAAGGAGTAGCCTGTGAAAAACCGCTGGTCCAAAATATCTGAAAAGTTCAGAAAATATACTTCAAACATATATAGGAATAAAAGAAGCAGCGGAAATTAGAAAAATTACCAGATAAAAAATCGGGATCAAAATAAAGAAAAAATGTGCTGCTCAAATTAGCTTTTTTCGTTTTTAATTTGTATGAAAGATTTCAAAATTCTAAAGTTCTTCAATTTTGGGCTATATTTAAGGGACATTTCAGAGAAATAAAAAAAATATTCAGAAACTTCTGCCGTGCAAGTACTGTTTTCCCTATTTTCTGTCACATTTTCACAGTCCAAAATGTTTCTTGTTTCTATTTGCATTACCACAGTAGGCAGTAAGTCTGGTTATCTAAATGATAAATTGAAGTAAAGAATTGAGAGAAAATCAAACTGAAAGAAAATTAATTTCTATGGTAATTAATTTCTATCATATGCCATGTGCTTCCTTGTTTTGGCCATGTTGGAACTTTGATGTTACCTTTAAGAAAATTGTTCCTTATTTTCTTCCCTGCTCATTCTCGATCTTTTAATGAATACATACAAGTCTGTTTTGTGCATTTTCAGCCGTATCAATGTCCAGAAGACAAACCTTACTGTGTTGTTGAAAACTACAAGCCAGTTTGTCAAAGTATGTACAGCCAACACTTCCTTTCAACTAAGATGATCCTTCTTATTTTGAAAGTTAGGACAGCATAGATTCTTGAGTAATATATTGATGAATTTTGAAATCTAATATGCACCTCAAATGACATCACAGCATAACCCATTGACATCACTTTTAAACATTCTAAACAAAGTCTGCATAAAAGTTATCAAAATAATTACAGAAATATAGGCAAATATGAGGTAGTATGCGAGTTAACATTTTATTATTCAGAATGCAGGCCCATTAGGTGTAGCATGTTCTGCCAATTTGGATTGGAGATGGGTTCAGATAGTTGTCATATATGTAAATGTAAAGACCATCCATGCATGGTAAGACAATCGTAGTCTGACTCTTTTCAACACTTTGAATTTGCTTCTTTCATCCCCTGGTCATGTACGAGGTTCTGATCTTCGGGATTCCGACTCTAACTACTTCTTATGTATTGTAGCATGGATAAAAATCATGGGTACTTTATTAAAGCTGATCCTCAGTATTTACTTAGAGCTACATGTACGCATGATAAAATTAAATGTTATGTTTTCTTAAAACATTTCTATTAATTCATGTAATTTAACGTTTCAATCTCACATTTAGAATAAGACTTGCCCTCCTTTACATATTTGTGAAGCCCAAAAGGATAGAGCATGTAGGAAACCTAACTGTCCTCCAATTGCCGAATGCAAAGGTATGTCACATGTGTCAAGAAGATGTATTTTTGTCTTAGAGTCATAGCCCAACGGGTGAACGAATTAATGTTTAATCATAGATGACATTGCAATCAATTGATCATTTCACATAAATTATTTTGTGCAATATCTTCAATTTCTTTATTCAGAAAGATACTTGTAATCATTATATGTGTACATCAGTACAAGGTGATTCATTGTAAACAGATCTAAATTCTTAATTGCTATTTGAGACCCATTTCTGTAGCTAATACTAATGTCCTGATAGAAATAATGTTTATAAAAAGATGGCAGTGCATTTAAAGGCCCCATGTAAAGTTTAAACCACTTTGGCTTATATTGTAGTCCTACCCAATGTTATCAAAGTGTGATATGTGAAACTTTTTTTTTTAATTTCAAAAAGTGGTTTTTGATAGACTTTTTGTTCCAAAATTTGTGAATTTATTTAAAACCAACTTTTAGAGGTCACTCATATCTTTTAATTAGCCACAATTCATACCAATGCATAGCATACATCCTCCCATGTTTTTGCCGAAAAAATTAAGAAAAACGGTTGATAAACAAGCGAGAAATGAACTTATCAGTGCATGAAAATGGTTCTGAGAAAAATGCATTTCAAAATTTTAGTTCTCATAGAAACCAATGGTACAATGATATCTAAAACACAATTTATTCTTCCTTTTTACCTGGTTAGACAATCAAAATTGGTTTTTTATGAAAGTCGAGCATATTTAGAAAAGATTGACATCGAAAAAAAAATTCAATTTTTTTCAAAAAGTTTTTGTTACCTTAGTGACATCACTAATGTTTCAAAATATTTTTGATAAGCTAAAACATTGAAGTGGCCCATGAAATATGACATTTTATTATTGAAATAGTGTGTCTTTTGTTCAATCTTTGCATTGGTGTTAAAAAGATAATCTTTTTTGAAATGCTTTAAGAAATATTTGATGATTAAGAAATATCAACTTTTTTTGAAAAATGGCGGGAAATTTGAATATTTGAGAAATGAAATGCTCACAACTTTTTTTTCAAAAAAAATCTTTTGTTCAAAAATCTCTAGAATCACTTTTTAAGTCCTGACAAATAGTAAATGAATGATAAAAAAATATTTTCAAACTTTAGACGGGGACTTTAAGCCTTTTTAAATATATTTTACCTACCGCCATCTGTTTGATGTATTAACTAGCCTTATTAGAATTAATGCAGTGTTATAGATTTTGTTCTTAATATTTACAGAGCACCCCGCCTTAGCATGTGCACATCCAGAAAAAGATACAACAGGATATATAAAAATATGCACTGATACCAAGAACTGCAGTGATGACTACATCTGTCTGATGTCCAGAGGACAATTCCCAGGTGTATGTTGTCCTCTGGCGCAATGTAGGTACTTCCTTAGGCTTTACAATATCAATGAAATCGTACCTTCTCTTGACGGTTGCAATACTTGCTGCTGTATGGGTGACGGTAAAATTGGATGCACTACGAAAACGTGTCCTAAAAGAGGCTGTGCTAATAATGGAAATAACTATATACATGAAGAAAGTTTTCCTCGTGGCGACGGTTGTAACACCTGTAAATGTTCTGATGGGGATGTTGATTGCACTAAAGCCTATTGTGCCCGTAAGTTACACCGGAATTGTCTTGTGATTAATATTATTTATATTCCAACGAGTGAACATGCCATCTTTCTAAGCAGGTGTCATGATCAAAAAGAGAAAGAAGACATTCTGTATCGTCAAGCCCTGCGATCTGAGAATGGATCATAAGATCACGGATCATAATGGGTCATAAGAGTTGGTATTTAAATAAACAATACTTAATATGTATACATTTGGAATGGTACACAAAAGATTTTAGATAAAATGTCAGCCGTGCACACTTGCAAACCATTTACACAAAAGAGCAACCTACTCTTAACAATTTTAAATAATATTTCTTACACTAAAGCCTATTGTGCCCGTAAGTTACACTGGGATTATTTTAGAATTAATATTGTTGATATTCCAAGAAATAAACATACCAAGCAGGTGTCTAGAATCAGTAAAAGAAAAAAATATTCTGGATCTCCAAGCCCTGCGATCGGAGGATTGATTTATGTTTTATTGGGTCGATGTTTCATTACTAGCGTATGTTCATGCATGTCATGTAATAAACAATATTTGTTTTGTAGTATGACGTGAAAACGAATATATCAAAATATTCTTTGTGTACAATGAACAAAACGTAAAAGATTATAAGAGTCAGTATTTAAATAAACAATTCATGATATGTTTACATCTGGAATGGTACGCAAAAGATTTTAGAAAAAATGTCAGCCGTGCACAATAGCAAACCATTACACACAAAAGCAACCTTCTCTTAACAGTTTTTATAATTGTTCATACAAAAGATGAATTCTCATATACTTGTTTTTGTTTTCAGACTGTGAGGAAAATGGTTTACTGTATGCTGTAGGTGAATATGTGAACCGAAACGATCCTTGTCTGATATGTCAATGCACAAATAATCCATTAGACATTACGAGTGCTAAAATCGTGTGTGCCGTCAGATATAGTTGCACCCAAGCTCCGGGCCTCACTCCTAAACTTTCACCCAGTCCTGACATGTGACTCCAAGACTGTATCGCGCAAAGATATTTTGGACATTTGGAATTTGAAAATGGAGCTCATGAGAAAATATTCACAAATTTAAAGAAACTTAAACAATTTAAATTTTTGCCTTACATTAATTATGAATTTTGTCAAAATCATTGATGAGGCTTAATGTTTTTCAAACATTACGCACGTGTATTATCAATTATTTTGTAAGAATAACACACAAATCGTACACGAACTTCTTCAGAGTGAGCATGTTATTTTAACTCAATTTTCATGGTCGAATTTTCATTTTAAAAAGAGGTGCTTCCTGGAAAACTTGAACGTAAATGTATAATAATATTGCCCCAGGAATTACTCAATCGTTCTCAGCTGTTTCAACCTGATGGACGAGGTCATTCCCAAAGTAATGTAAAAACATATTTGGGACAGTGTAGTCATACATAGTTTGGGTCAGCTTTGTACAATAACAAACTATAGCCTAATAATACTTTTATGCCTCTGTCACATTTGCTACGATGACTCTTAGTCTAGTATTAATATCTATCACACGATCACCATATAATTTTACCGTGGCATACTTTTGCAATCACATATGCTACGACACCGAACATCCGCATGGATATTTCTACAGAAATGGCAGCTACCAATCCATTATAGAATTCAGAAAACAGCAGCTCCACGGAGTGGCAAAACCAACCAAACAAAACACATTTTGTTTAATTTGTGACAAGCTCCTTTGTCTCCAGGAAATATCTGCATATAAAAGGTGAACCAAATCCATCCACTGGTATTCGAGTATCAAAGATTATGTTTTTTTCCAAAATATGGCGGCCTTCTGAAATCCAGCCACCATCTTGAAAATTCAGAGTTACTGTGTCCCTAGGTATAAAAGTATAAAATGTAAACTATGTGAAATATTTTTTGAGTTAGCAAATATTATGTTTGTTTTTTTTACTACAATGGCAGCCATTTTGAAAATGGCCATCCTGAAAATTTCTTATTTGGCAGAAATCGATTGTCCTTGGGCATCAAGATATAACATTTGAAAATAATCCGTCTACAGGTATATGGTTATCAAATATTACGTTGTTTTACCAAAATTGGCGGGCTTTTTTAAATTTTGTGGACATCCTGAAAATGTATTCTTGAGAAGAGTCCCTTTGTCTTTAGGCATCTGCATATAAAATCTGAATCAAATCCGCCAACTGGTATTTGAGTAATCAAACACTACACTATTTTACTAAAAATTCGGTTATTTTGAATTTTAACTGTCATTTTGAAAATTCTTTCTCGTAAAGAGCTCCCGGGTTCCTTAACATCAGCACATAATATTTGAAATTACAAATTTCTATTGACTCTAGGTATTTTTCTGAATCAACACACATCTAATTTTTCATGTTGATAGTCAGATTTAATGCTTTTAATAATATCAATATCCTGTTTGAGGTAAATAGTGTTATATGATTAAAACAATACTCCAAAACATTAAAAACAACACAAACATGGTTTCTTTAAAGTGCATTGTATATGACATGATATATGATGCAAAGCTGAGATTTCCAGCAAAAGTATGCAAAACCGAGTTCCTAAAACATTTTCAGAATGAAATGTATAACCCAGCTCTAAAGCAACACTTAAACACCCGTTTCCCTTTCAGAAATTAATGTTGAGAAGAAGCTTTTAGTTACAGAAAGAAATAATAATCCATTGTATATTTTGGCTTATTTATGCTTATTTAGTTGTTAGTATAACAGGTCACTTTCATGTTTCTTGAATGCCTTTTAGCGGGCACTGGGGTGCTGAGAGATGCGTGAATTAAAATTTCCTCGAAAAAGAAAACACGCATGCATTAAATTTATCATACAGATGCTACTAATAAAGTACTTTCTCCAACGTGAACTCAAAATAAGATGACATCCATACAATGTTAATCTATTTTGCGGAATTTCCGTTATCTTCCACTAATCTAATTCACACCTTTGATCGAGGGACTTTGTGAAGGATTATCTAATTTAGCCTCCATATGGCCAGTTTGTATAAGCCGCTGATGTAATGCTCTCTAATGGCTAAGTGTACCATAAACACTGTAACCTCTTTTTAGCATGCGTTGAATGAACTACCGGGCATCAGCACCCATTCATATTTTATTAAATGCCATGATGAGGGTTGTCATCATTTGAGTAGTCCAAGTCCGACATAAAGAAAACACCAATTTTAAAGCACGGTAATGTTATTAGAATTCCTATCTAAATGACATAATTGATATATCAAATCCGTTCAGCCGATTTCCCACGTCCAATGATTCCGCAGATTACCTCTAGAGTTTAGATAGGACTTTAGGACCTCTCTAGGACTTCGGTGAATATCTAGTGCGGACATCTGGAAATCGTATTTTTCTTTTGAGAGTGCGCACGTGCGTACATAATAGAGATCTTAAGATTGCACCAAATAGTAACCTGTACCTGTACCTGTACGTGAAACATGATGCGCGCGCAACAAATCATGTAACTTTATGCTCCATTCGACACGTCTGACTTGTTTTATAATCCCGCTGACGTGTAAATTCAATAGCGCCGGTGTCAAAGAAATTATGGTCTCCCAGGGATTATGGTCCCCCCTTTAAAAGGCCCTTACTGGCCCTGATTGTGTATAAGATAATAAGGGAAAGAGCACAAAGAGGTCACCATATAAATCAATGGAGAGTAGGACCATAAATTAATAGGACCTTCTACCCTTTTACACCGGGCGTTTTTGTCGTCTTGTTGTGAACCTGTACGAGAAAGATTGTGAGTGAGATCAGTATTACATAACTATGTACTATTTATTTCACGGTCTCATTCATTTTACACGAGCGGCAAGACGTGAATTTGGCACTTTACAGGTTGGTTGGACCGTGAGTTTTGAACCATTGATAAATGACTAAAAAACAATGTGCTGTTTATTTATGTTACTAATTTAAAAGTAACATATCTGTCGAATAGCTGTGTATGTGCTATGGTTCAATAAATAACGAATCCTATGGGTAAAGTTGCAGTTAATTTCAAGTATGAAATAATGGCAATTCATATTGCTATTATTGTATCACTTAAGTGAAAGCCATACTGTTCCGGCAGACTAGACTATTTCGCTTTCTCCTTTACATGCCAGAGTGTTTTGTTCTGTTGATCAGTTGTTTGATGTAAAGTATGCGAAAATTTTAAGAAATCGAAACCATCAAATATCACTTTTGAAACCATGGAATATCACTTTTAATATAAAAAGTGATATTCGATGGTTTTAAGATTTCTAATATGAAAAAGTGAGATTCGATGGTTTAAAAAGTGATATTCGATGGTTGTTTTTTTGCTAAAATATGATATCTTGATCCACATATATCAAATATATTGTAACGGTCTGCTTAACGAAATTATTAATGCATAAAGCTTTAGCAGTTGCTGTTGTATGATATTTTAATGTCTATTTCACTGAAACACAAAAACTGAGCAACACTTTACATATGAATCCTGTATGATAGACTAATTGGAAATAAACAGGTTTTGTAACTTCGAAGAAGCAAACCACGACGGAAAACGCAATTCGAACGCGAGTTGGAAATATTTATCTATAATCTGATTGGTTGATTTTGTATCAACTCACGATTGAATCGAATGTTAGATCGCCAGTGTTGTAGGGCGGCAGACGATATCGGGAGGCACGACTACAAGGTAGGGCTATGCACATTTTCTAGGTGAACAACATTCCTGTTTCTGGACTGGGCGTTACTTCGGCTTACAGACTTCATCAACAGCAATATGCAGCAATGAGCAACCCAAGATAAGGATTCGTAAGCTGTGAATCTACAGCAGTCCATTGGGGTGCCGTAACGGCTGGAATTCGCTGAAGGAATAGCGTCATCACGGGAGTTGAGACCACACAGTCAGCCAAGCCCATCAAGAGCAGCCTACACTCTATGCAAGTCCCCTATCATCGTGATCAAGTCCACGACGACTTCAAGGGCCAGTCCCACAACCGGTTGCCTCTTATCGTCTCGCATAGCTTTTATTATCTTTTATAGACATTTTAAATAGACATTTCAGAATTCTGTAGTAGTATTTTGAAAGACATTTTATAAAGACATTTACATATCTAGAGTAATAGATTAAATTAAAAGCATCATAAATACCATTGTTCTTTCTCTCTGTGCAATATTACTATTTTGATCATTATGTTCTCTATGTTGATTTTAAATAAATAAACCTTGTACATATTGTTATATTTTACATCACTCGTCGTGTTGCATATGTGTTGCATGTTGTATTTGATTTATTAGGCTCTGTTTAAAAGTCCCATTCCCCTCCCCGTTTCGTCCGGTTACATTTGGTGGCAGCTTACAGACAGCAACAACTACGTCTGCGTCTCCGGCCTGAAAAAGAGGGGGAAAGGTGCCTGCAAGCAGAAACCAGAGATCTGCATTTCCGGCCCGGAAATCTATGCAACACGAGGTAAACTGCTCAACCATACGCATTTTCGTACGCATAGTGAAGCTACGGGATATCCATTCACAGTTTCCTGCAAGTGACCTGGTTGCCCATCCATGTTGCTGCAAGCTTGGAATTCAACATTGAGCAAGGTATAGCTGAAGTTGAGATCGTCTCCAGATAGCTATTTCCTCTGTACTTGGTCGTGAGTCGCCAAGCGGCAGAATCACACGTGTACTGTAACCAATAACCAGGTACATTGTAGTTTAAAATATGTAAAGCTTGTAAAACACTGTAAACTTTTTGTATATCTTAAAGTTAGTGTAAATGTAGTGTAAACTCTAGTATAGCTCAAACTAGTGTAAATCGTACTGTATCATGTATGCATGGATGCATGCGTAGCTTTATTATAGGCCAGGGATTTGTAGGTCTTATCGCAAAAAGCGTAACCCTGTAAACATGCAGCAGTACGGCAACACGACCCCAAGAAATCCGGTAGATTTCATGCAATGCTGCATGTAATTTCGATTCAACGTGGTCCAGTGGTTTCAGCTATCATCTAGGAATTCAGCAAGTAGCAGTATATTCTACGCTGATTCACAGTCCGGTGCAGTGCAGCAACGTTGATTCATGCTTCAGCTTCGGGGAGCGGTTTAGTCGAGCTAATGCAGTTCAGCAGAGGCGTGCAGTACAGTGCATCTCTAGAAAGAGCCATATAGCAGTGCAGTGTAACGACGCTGTAGTGAGGCAGTGCAGTACGTGTACCCTTGCTGATCCTGAGTATGGTAATGCAATGGAATTTTAAATTTGTTGAAATGAACAATTTATACGTTTGCTGAAATGTCGCATTGTTATTTGTGTAAAGATATTTTACCAGCATTTTATATGATCGTGTATTGTTACAACATCTATTGAAAATTGATGCGACTCATTGTATAACTCGCCACAGTTTTAGATGTACAAGCCCAGTAAGGACATTTGTGACTACTCTTTATTCTCAACAGTTTTAGGCTATTGTATATGTAACCAGTTGTAGGTTGTATTGCTGATGTTTACATTGGATACTTCGAGCAGTGACCTTGAGCACTTGGAGCGGTGACCTCAATAACTTCGAGCGGTGACCTCAATAAGCTCAAGCAGTGACCTTTGATAGCTCAAGCGGTGACCTTCGAAACTTCAAGCCGTGACCTTCGATATCTCTAGCTGTGACCTTTGATAGCTCAAGCAGTGACCTTCGATATCTCAAGCAGTGACCTTCGGTGTCTCAAGCAGTAACCTTGGTGATCTCGAATGGTATAGGCCTGTGTAGCCTGCAGTTGAAACTTCAAGCCACTGTGTTAGGAAATGATTTGATATTGAGACAAAACTGATTGAAAATGTATTGAAATAACTGAGAAACTTCTATGTAGCTTGGTCAATGAAACTTAGTCAAAGCTTATACTCCATGACCTCTGAGTACACACAGTTCAGACTCGGCGCAAATTTTTATAATGAATCAATGTGGTTACATTTTGCGAGTGAATATTTTTATAAAACTGACTTAATTTTAGAAGCTGGTGCAGTTCAAGCCGAGATGCAGTTCGTTGCAGTTTGCAGTTGGCAGCCCAGTTGATGCAATATATTTATGACATATCAATTTGTGTTTTATCATTTTAAAATGGACAACGTTTCAGGTTGCTGTGATTTAATGTAACAACATTTAGGTTCAGTTGCTGCTGACAGATACAGATTGCGTAGCATACAGAACAAACAATACAGCAACAAACAGCAGTCACATCCTCAGCCAGTGCCAAAGGGTAGTCCCTTCAGAAAGTCCATCGGTGCATACAGTAGCAGTAAAGGTTGCCAAAAGGCAATCACTTCAAACATAGGTGTATAGCAGTATAGATTGCCAAAGGGCAGTCACTTCAAACAGTGGTGTACGGCAGTATCGATTGCCAAAGGGCAATCACTTCAGTGAAGTCTATAAAGTGAACTCTACACCATCGACTTCCAAATAAAATCTGCAAAGGCAGATGTATTCATTGAACAATAAAGTAGCTGTAAATAAATAACTTCGCTGCTGCAAACTTGTAATCTTACCAATCCTGAGAGAATATACGACCCCACCCCATAATAAAGTATTTTCCTGTGAACCTGTTGTGTTTTGATTATCCTGTGAAATCTACGTGTTTAACTACCCCCAAACTTCTGGTTTTCTTTTCTATCGCACACACACACTTGACGCAAACTTGCACATCAGGATTTCTTCCCCACCTGATGAAATATAATTCCTGTGGAATTGCAAGCCCCATCATTGATACATATATGTCCTCAATAGCTGCACTTGTATTTTGTTATCTTAAAAGTTCAACTGTTCATCGAATGACTGTAGTGAATGGCGTGAAAGGCGTGTAATGATACCTGTATATGATAATGGTAAATTAAGAAACTTCAACGAACTTGCATTGATTCAGAATACATGCAATTTTAAGAATAGAGTATCACGATCAACGTAACTTGACCAGATATTTTGTTGCTTAATCAAAGCCACTACGATTAGAATACGTTGATCAACTGTTTGTTTGTAAAACAAGTGTCCCTTTAAGATGGCCCTTTGTATGGAAATTCATATTACTATAACGTAAAGAATATTTTACATTATGTCACAAAGAGGGCAGCTGTATTCTGTGTTTATGGATTGAGTGCACAGAGTGTGTCGATTTTGTTACGTTGTTAGATGGTAACAAAGTAGGAAGTGGTTTGTTTGTCATATATCTTTGTGAAATACACGCACTTTGAAAAAAGCTGTGACTTGTGTGTAAACTAGACGATTTATACGTGTTTTATTTTGTATTTGAGCCTAGAAATATGCAGCAAAGCCATTATAATTATGAATACCAGCAAATGGAATACGAGAAGGATGGTCAAATAGCGCCATCTATGAGACATTTTGATTCTGCGGATAAAATGGAGAACCACATGAAGTCTACATACAAGGCTAAGCCTGATACATATAATGGTGAAATTTCATGGCTAGATTATGAGTCACAATTTGAAATATGCGCAGAGATAAATGGATGGAATACTGTCCAGAAAGCTAAAATATTAGCAATCCATTTAAAAGATGCTGCTAGAGAAGTTTTGACTGATATACCATTAGAAAGCAGATCGGATTATGAAACATTGACCCAGAGGCTGCAAACACGATTCTCTCCAGAGCAGAAGGAGATAAACAAGTGTAATTTGAAGAATAAAAGAAGGGGAACGTTAGAATCGTTGAATGAATTGGGGCAATATCTGCGTAGGCAGACAGCTTTAGCGTATCCTAGATTTGATTTTTCTTTGAGAGAAGAGATTGCCTTTGACCATTTTATGGTTGCAATTTCTAAACAGTCAGATATGCAAACATATATCCGACTCTCAAAAGCAAATACCCTGAAGGAAGCAGTATTAGCTGGCCTAGAGTGGGAATCGTACACTGTTATAGATGGAGTACATGCTGGGGCCTCAGAACAAAATGAAATGGAAAAGCCAAATATGATTTTGACAATAGAAAAAGAACAGAGCTGTGTTGAAAATATACTGAAGTTGATAAAAGAACAGCAAGAAACGATCAAAGTTTTAAATAGAGAAATTATAGATATCAAAGCAATGAGCCGTGGTGTAAGTCAAGGCGATATTTTGAATCCTTCACAAAATATCACATGTTTCAATTGTCAGGGTAACCACACATCTAATAAGTGTCCTGAGATTTTGTTTTGTACAGAATGTCTGAGTCAAAGACATGTCAAAGAGTTTTGTAAAGCTCGATTAAGTGAAAACACAAGAGAAAGGTGGTATCCCCAAAGAGAATTTTCAAGGCACAGATACAACCACAAAGCAAGAAGAAGGCGAAGGAATTTCGAAAAATTTGGCGTTGGCAGAAAAAATGTCTGTGAGACTCGTGATCTTAGTAGCACAGAACAGTTATCAAAACAAGATGAGCAAAATCGAAATCATTACAATAACAATACCAAATTAAAAAGTGTGGAGGCCTTACGAGAAACTGAGTTTACACCAGAAATAAAGAGGATGATGAAACAAGTGGAAAAATACAAAGACCGAGATATCATAAACAGCATTCTTGAAGATGGTTTATTTGTTAAAGCAAAACTAGAGACAGTGACTGTTAATTTCCTAATTGACAGCGGATCATGTATCTCAATCATTTCAATGGAGAAGTTCATGGAAATAGGAAAGGAGAAAGATATCATCGTACCCCCATATAATGGATTCAAAAATGCAGATGGCAGCCAGTTACCACTAGTTGGCTACAGCAATATTAGCCTTGGGATTGGAGATGGCGTTTTTCAACACAAAATTTGGATAGCACATATAAGTGTAGATGCCATTTTGGGAATGGATTTTATGGTCCAGCACAAATGTATGTTAGACATGGGAAATGGACATATGCGTATTGGAGAAAATTATGTGGACTGTTGGACAAAAGATTCACAACCAGTGATAAAAGTACTTGTGAACAATACAGTGAAAGTACCACCAATGAGCGAACAGATAGTGAAAGGTCGGATCAATAGGATAAGTGGCTCATACCGTTTGGACAAGAAGCAACTAGGTGTTGTGGAGCCCTCAGAAACATTTAATAACAAACATGATGTTATGATTGGCAGATCATTAGTGGACCTAACAGAAAAAGAACAGATTATTCCGTTGCGAGTTCTGAACCCAACAGATCAACCTATTGTGATCTACAAGAATACAAGAGCAGCCGAGGTAGAATTGATTGATAAAATTGACCACGTTCTGGATCAGGATGGCAATAGGATCAATGCAATATCATCTTCAGAGACTAATTCCCCAAAGAAAATTCCAGAGTATTTAACAGACCTGCATGAGAGAAGTAGTGAACATTTGAATACGGAACAAGCTCAGTTAGTTGGAGATCTCCTCATTAGATATCAGGATATATTTGCTAAAACATCAGAGGACCTGGGAAAGACGTCTATTGTAGAGCATACCATCGACACGGGAAATCATGCACCAATCAGACAACCTCCAAGGAGACAAGCCTTGTCACAGCAGAAAGTAGTGACAGAGGAAGTGGAAAAGATGCTAAAGAATGGGATTATAGA